GAGAAAAGAAAGCATATGTCAGAGGTTTATTAAAAAGTTCTACGAATTCATATTCTCCCCCATACACATTCATGCCTGAGGAGTGATTTATACCTTCATTTGTCAATATCTGCAAAGCATTTTGGGATTATCCATTGATAGGTATATTATATATATTTTAACAAATCAGACTCATAAGTTAAGGAAGCTAGATATAACTTACTTTTAAGCATTTTAATTCAATAGCCCTTTTCCTGCAGTAACCCTTAATCTTTTTCACAAGCTGTAATAGTACCAAGACCAAGAAGGGCTTTCCAAAGAGTGGATGTAGGAAGCTGATAAGAGAAGTATTCTTTAGGGCTTGGCAGCATAGGTTACATTGCACAAAAACAATTTCTCTTTGCAGTCACATTTTTCTCCTGTCACCTATTGACGTTTTGAAAGATTTACTGATGAACTTAAAAATTGCAGAACTTTTAAAGTTGGTGATGTGAATGTGTTAGCCTAATTACAGATGGGCCACTGCAATTAATGCTTTTTCCGTCTACTGTAGGGAGCCATTCATTACAACTCGTAACTAGAGGAAAGGGCTTTGCATGATTGTTGCTAACATTAAAAAATACGTATGCAAATTGTGTTTCCAAACAACTCTCCAAAGTTCAAGAGCTGGTGTTACTAATTGAGTGCCTCAGGAAAACCCTTAATAAATTATTTTGTCTAGCTCTCTGATCACACAGGTGATTATGTATATTTTTTTCAAGGTGAGAAAGAGGAAAAGGAAAAAATTGTGCCAAGAACTACAGTAGTTTCTTCAATTCTTTTGTGAGAGTAGTTTTGAACTAATAAAATAGGTGTGATTTCCCATTATAAAAATGAGCAACTGAGTCTTAGAAAATTACACAGCCAGAAAATTTTTATAAAGTAAGATTCTGATCTGAGATTCTAACCTAGTTATGTCCTATCCAAAGCCCATGCTTTTTCATTCTAGATCATGTTACCTTGTGGGGGAAAAGTGCTGTATGTGGAAAAACACATAGCATATTTATTGTCCTGTGTGTGAGCTGTTACTGTGCTTTGTCCCAACAAAAGTCCAAAGTATTGGTAGCCTACAAAGATTTTCATTAGTTCAGATAACGTTTTCAAAAAAGACTTCGAGCTGATTTTCTTTAAAGATTCATTATGTAATCGTGAGGCAGAAAAACCTCATTTTATCAAGGGACAGTGTAAGTTGAAGACATTTCCTCAGTGTTGCCAAAATAAAAAATAAAAAAAGCTAGAGATTTTACTTCATAATTCAGGATTCCCTTCTAGTACATTTGCTCACACTGCTTAGTATTAAAAAGCATAATGCTTTTGTGGATTTTCTGACTTACTACTATATCTTCGTTTTTCTTTTATCATCTAACCTGCTAAATTGAATTAAACTCTATCTAGTATATAGTAAATCAGTAAATAGACTACAGCATTTTCCCTGATAGGATTTCAGTCTCATGGTGAGGTACCAGGAAAATTCTGGCTCAATTGTTACTGACATAGGAGGCTGTACAGTTATTTATTAGAAGACAGCCTGGGAGGAAAAGAGAAAATGGATTTATGTGATCTTGTATTGCTAAATACAGCACACTGCTGTTATCTTTTCTTTACTGCTTCCTCTGAAAGTCATCATTTCAATGCACTAATCTTTTAAACAGCCATTCAGTGGTAACTGGGCTAGAACTTTGCTAAGGGGTCACATTCACCAACCTGACAGTTATATATTTACAAAAGAAATAGCATGAATTTATTCAGCATCAAAACCTCTGCATCTTTTACCACCCAACTACATTTCACACTGTATTACCATCAGTGCACAATAATGGCTATATAAATTCCATCCAGATTCTTCATTTAATTAACTAGCATTCTTTGAACAAAAATAAAAGTGCTGTTTTTATAGAGGAATAAAAGCTGCATGAAGTGAGTGTGAAGAAGACAAATCATCAAATTAGTTATTCTTCATTGCAGCTATGGAGAATTTTCTGCCCTTCCTCTTTCTCTTTAGAGGCTTTTTTTTTTTTTTTTTTTTTTTAGCTTGATTGAATGAAAAATGGAGAGTGAAGCAGCTTCAAATACACCTATTATAATGACCACATCATAAGCTCAGCCAGGACTCGGCACTGATAATATTGTCATCTAAAAGTGATTTTTAAAAAATATTTTCTGTAGTAGGCAGGGTAGTACAGCATAGTAGCCAAGAACGTGAACTTTATAACTAGACTGCCAAATCTTAGCTCTGTCACTTATTAGGTTTGTGATTCTGAGTTAGTTACTTAACTTTCCTGTGCATCAATGTCCTGTCTATAAAATGCAGATAATAATAGGAGGATAATAATAGACACATCCATGGCAGTGTGTGGATAAACTGAGATGATGGATGTAAAACATTGAGAATAGTACTGGCACATAGCCAGCCATTACCTCCTGTATGCACGGCAGCAGTCTGGTGTGAAGTTGATCCAGCTGTGTCACTAGAGACTCTCTTGATCATCTGAATGAAATTGACTGATGTGGTAGACTAGGTTAATGTACCTATCTTTTCCAGATATTTCTTTCCAAAAGTATTCTTTTATTATAAAACAATTACTTTCAGATACAAGGAAATAAAGTTCTTTGAGTCAAGGGCATAGAAGGCAATCGGTTGACCACATCTCTCCATCTGGCACCCTGCTGCCAAATTTAGCTTTCTAAAGCACTGTTTTCTCATATCATTTTCTGCTCAGAAACCTTCAAGTCTTCTTCAGACTCAAGCTCCTTTCCCGTCATGCCTGCCATTTCTATCAGAGCCTGACTCCCTCCCTTGGCACGACCTTTTTTTGTCCATTACTCCCCTATAGCAAGTCTCTACTCCAATCATAATTGATCTAGTATTGTTTCCCAGTGTGACACATTTCTGCTTGTCTCTCTTCCTTTGTTCACATGGTTCTCTTTTGTAACATCCTCTTTTATTCATCCATTTATCTAAGTCATACCTGATATTCTAAGTTGAGACAGAAAAGGAGAGGTTATCTTTTACCCTTTTGTATTTTTGTCATAAACATATTTGCTGCATGCAGTGGCTGCTAAATAAATGCTATTGATGAACTATCCTATTGGCTTTACCTTCAAACTATATTTAGAATCTAACTGCTTCACACCAACTCCACCACTATCACCCTTATAGAAGCTACAGTTAATTTTTTGCCTGTCTCCTTTTTCTTCTCCCTGCTTCCAGCCTTGCCCACCATCTACAGTCTATTCTCAACACAGCAGCAAAAGTAACATTTTTAAAATTTAAGTCAGATCACATTGATTCTCTGCTCAAAACCCTCCAATCATTTCCTGTCTCACCCTGAGTAAAACGAAAGTCCTTGCAACGGCCTACAAATTCTCTTAGCCTCTGCCACTTCACTCTACCTCCATCCCTATATTCACTCTTGTTACCACTCTGCCCTCATGTCTTACTACTCCCCTCTTCCTGGACCCTACCACTCCTACCTCTGCTACACTGGCTTCCTTGCTGTTCTCTGGAAGATGTAAAGCACAACTCCATCTCAGGGCCTTCATGAAAACTGTTCCCTCTTCCTAGAAAGCTTCTCCTTGGGAAATCCTGACTCCATTCCTCCTGCAGGTCTCTGGTCAGTTATCTTCTCAATGAGACATTTACGTCTCATCCCTGATTTACTGCCTGTCTCCCCAAACTTAGAGTGTAAATTCCAAAGAGCAAGAGGGAAGGCTTTTTGTCTATATTGTTTAGTGTCTACCCCCAGTACCTGAAACAGAACCTGACACATAGTAAATACTTAATAAATCAGTATTGAATGTATGAATGAAAAACTGACCCTTAAGAATATGCCAGCGTTCCTAACCCTCCCAGCACTTCAAATGTATTTAGGCTCAAACAAAAGCAAATGTCCCTTAACAGCTCTGAAAAAATTAAAATAGCCATAGTTTAATATTAGCCATGGCAATTGGAGCAGAAAGTTCTATCGCAGAGAAAAGAGATTTCTGCATCAAGTAAATAAAAAGAAATGGCTTACAGTATAAGAAGTGCCATATTAAATTATATTGGTATCCTGGGGGACTTTCTTTGACCCAGTCCCGAAGTACATTTTTTTCCCTCCAACTACATTTTGAGAGAGCAAGTGGTTTTGGCTACCCTATCCTCTTCCTAAGGTGGAGGGTATAGCTGTATGAGGAGTTTTTGTTTTTTCATTTAGAAGCAGAGTAAAACAGTAGAAAGACAGCATTAATGATGCAGTCAGGCAGACCTAGTTTCAGATTCTGGCTGTGTGTGCTTGAACAGGTCATATAACTTCTCTGAGTCTGTTTGCTTGTGTATGAAATGTTTTTTGGTAATGTCTTTCTCTCAATATTGTTTTAAAGATTAAGTAAGAAAAGACATGTGAAGCACCTGGGACATAACATGTGTTTAATAAATGTCTTGTGAGCATTGCATTCAACAACACAATTATGTACTTTGCTACTAAATGCTACCTTTTGACTTAAACCGAAAGTGAGAAGTAGTAGATAGATTGATGTCCCTGAGATAACTTTGGCCTCCGGAACTTGGTCCATGGAGAAGCCCCATAACACTACTACAAATCTCTCCGCAGCATCTGATGACACTACAAGAGCCTTTTTAGAACATGAGTCCTACCACCTACTTGAGTTTTGTTGTAGCCTACTCTTTTTATCTTTTGAGCCCATTCTTATTCTTCTGTTTTCCATTTTCAACTCTTCTACATCCTTTATTTTCAAAATGTTATGCTAGGTATATGAAGTCAAGAGTTTCCATACTGAAATCAACAAAGGAAAAAGTAAGATCAGGCAACTACCTCATATAATAAAATAACATAACTATTAATTTTCAAATTAAAAAATAAAAAAAATATGTATATTGACTTTTTGGAATTGTAACTTCCAGAGCAGGGAAAATATTTTGTGTAAACCTCGGAAGTATTTCTTACATATTTTTTAAATGACATTAATTTTGAAATCTTTAGGAAGCAAAAGCTGTAGTTGAAGAAACAAGAGCCCTGCGTAGTCGGATTCATCTTGCTGAAGCTGCGCAGAGACAGGCACATGGAATGGAAATGGACTATGAAGAAGTGATCCGTCTGTTAGAGGCCAAGATTACAGAGTTAAAGGCTCAGCTTGCTGATTATTCTGACCAAAATAAAGTAAGCAAAGCAGTCATCTCTTCCAGTTACCATGGTTTCCTTGCCGTTGTCATGTATCCTGTTTTCATTTTCTTTTCATCTGCTCTTCTAAACTAGGTCAATGTTTGTCTTCTATTATTCAATGATAGGATGCTGTGTCCTGATGGGGGTAATGTAAAGGTCTTGAGCCTTCCTTTATCCAGATGGCTTTGGGATGGAAAAGCATGTGCCCCAAATTTATTTAGGTCAACGGTCAACATTGTTCAATTCAGGTATTAAGTCCTGGAACTCTTTAACATTTAGTTGATTACACTGGTTTTTTTCTTTTGTTTCTAAACTTGCTAATTTATTTTATGGGAATGGGAGGAGGGGAGTCTAGGAATGGGTATGCTCTTTGATTAGAGCATTCAAGGAAGCATAAAAGTGAAAGAATGTTTGCCTAATGCCTAGATAATTAATGGGAAGAAACTGAGTTTGAATTTTTTTTAATGTACGGTGTACTAAAATAGTTTCCAATAGATGATTTTCCAGTTTCAATAGCAAAATACTGAATTTTTTTCAGAAGCCAGTGTGAACTTTTTGTTGTTGTTGTTGTTGACACAGAGTTTTGCTCTTGTCACCCAGGCTGGAGTGCAATGGCGTGGTCTCGGCTCACTGCAACCTCCGCCTCCCAGGTTCAAGTGATTCTGCTGCCTCAACCTCCCAAGTAGCTGGGGTTACAGACACCCACCACCACACCCAGCTATTTTTTTTGTGTTTTTGTAGAGACAGGGATTCATCATCTTGGCCAGGCTGGTCTGCTCTCCTGACCTCAGGTGATCCACCCACCTCGGCCTTCCAAAGTGCTGGGATTACAGGCATGAGCCACCGCGCCTGGACAGTGCAAAGTTTTTTATGCAATTTTTTTTACGTAATACATACTATATTCAGTGAAGAGGCTTCAAAAAACTATAATAGTCATATATATTTTTACTTTACTGAATTAAGGTAGAAAATCGAATAAATTGAAATAAATATTCATACATTTGTTCACTTATAAACATAACTGGTTATTTATATCTCAAATCCAATCAGTTTCTAAGAGAACATAAAGCAAATCTGAATAATTTATGACTATTTATTTAAACATTAAAAGGTTAAATACTTTAAATATACCACATGAAAATGAAACTGGTGTTAGAAATGCAAACTACCAAAGAAAATTTGAAATCTGTTAAAAGTCAGTAGACTATTTCTCACATCTGTTCACTTAAACCAATTCCACAAGAAGGCTGAAGTTCCCATCACCCTTTGATAATACCACAAGGCCAAGAGGAAAACATTTAGTTGACAAAGCAGCAATATTTAGGAATATTACATATTTGTTATTTGTGACCTAGTATTTACATTCTGAAAATAGATATGTGATTATGTTATGTAGCTTTAGCCTGAGTATAAAAATACTTTGAGATTTATCACAATATCAAAAGTATTATTTATTACGGTTACTCTTGAAGTGAAAAATCAAGAGTGTTTAATATTTTAATTTTAAATAATATAACTTTCAAGAAAGTTCACATGAAATTATTCATTGTTTTTTGTTTTTTTTTTAAGCTTGGGTTATTTGTAATCTCTTCCAGCTCTTAACTGAGAAACATTTTTGTCCTAAGTTGCCTGGTAATATAATTAATTCAGTTTTTCTCTCTTTTATCATAATCGGGTTCTCATGCCATTTCTCTTAACAAGACTCTAAGCCAGTAACCTGTCTCTGAAAACAGTCTTTAAAAAGTCTCTTTAAAGAGCTATTAATATGAGCATCTCAACATTCAACATTTTCTAAACCCAGTATCAGTGGAAAAAAAGAAGGAAACCTTTTTTTTTTTTTTTTTTTTTGAATCGTGAGATTGCTTAAAGAGACATTGACCAAGATATTACAGAATTAAGATTCAAGTGTCTATTTGTAGGATAACAGATTCTTTTTGTAACAATACTTTTATTTTTCATTATAACCTTTTCTTTATGTTATTTATTTATTTATTTACCTTTTGGAGTTTTTATTCACCTTCAACGTAAGAAATAAAACATTACTAGTACCTTTGAAGACCCACAGTGTTTCTTTCCAGTTGCATCTCCCACCCTTTCCCTCAGAGAGAACCACTTTCTTGGATTTATTGTTAACCATTTTCTTGAAAATTTTAGTACTTGTGTATATATTCCTTAACAATATGTTGTTTAGTTTTACCTGTTTATCAACTTTATATAAGTAGAAATATACTCTATGTATGATTCTGACCTGCTTTTCTTCACTCAACATTTTGTTTTTGCATTTCATCTCTGAAGTTTTTAGCTAGTTCATGTCTTCTCATTGTTTCTTTGTACTCTATTGTGTGGATATACTACAGTGTAATTATCCATTCTGCATTTGATGGACAGTGCAATTGTTTCTGTTCTCTTCTGTTATAAATGGTGCTAAGAACATTTTAGTACGTGTATCCTGCTCCACATGTGTAATAGTTACCTGCTAGGAATAGAATTGCTAAGTTGAATAATTGTAAGTTTGGCTTTACTAGGTAATGCCTACTTATGCTTCAAAGTATTTGAACTAATTTGTACTCCCACCAGTAATGAATAAGAATTATTGTTTACCCCACATGCTTGCTGATGCTTTGTTTTATTTTACTTTTATCAATCTGGTAGTTATAATACGTGTTGTCATTATAGTTTAATTTGAATCTCCCTGGTTACTAATGGCTTTGAGACAGTGATATGCTGGGACCAACTGACACTAGCTCATGAGAGCTGATTGCATGCATCTCTTCTCAACTCCATGTACAGTGATATCAGGTTGGTAGCTTGAAATCAGCCATAATGGGGTTATTTCTACCCATAAATGTTATAAACCAAGGTTTCCTCCTCCCTGGTAGCCAGTTGAGCATATATTTATCTCTTTATTAGGCATTTGTGTTTCTTCGTGAAATGCTTCTTCATATCTTTTGACCCTTTTTCCCGTGGATTAGTTATCTTTTTCATATAGATGTGTAGTGATTCTTCTGGTTACTAATCCTTTGTTAAATTATATGTTATGAAAATATTCTTCCAAATTTCTAGCTTGCCTTTTCACTGTATGGTAAAATGGACAGGAGTTTTTAATTTTCGTGTAGACTAACTTAAAATCTTTACCCTCATGTGTCTTTTTAGAAGTCCTTCCATTTTCAAGGATATAAAGATATTCTTTTATATGTGCCTCTAAAAGTTTTAAATTTTGATCCTTCTGTAATTGGTTTTGTGGCAGTGTATGAGGTGAGGATCCATTTCATTCTTTGTTTATTCAAAATGAATAACTATGTCATCACCATGTTTAAAAAGCCCCTTCTTTCCTAGGTGATCTACAAAATAATCTCAGTCATATATCAAGATTTCATATGTGTATGAATCTGAGGTTCTCTATTCTCTTTTGTTGGTCAATGTATATTCCTCTGTGAATAACACATGGTGTTGCTTACTGTATCTTTTACAGTAAGTCTTGATCTCTGATCATCCTGCCTAATTCTTTTTCTTCAGAAATGTGTTGGTTACATGACCCTTTGATTTTTTATTATCTATTTTAGATTCAGCTTATCAATTCCATCAAAAGAAAAAAACGTATCGGAATTTTCACTGACAATGTATTAAATATGTAGATTAAATTGGGAAGAATTTACATATTTATGATTTTCTTTATTTATGAACACCACTGAGGCACAGAAAGGTTACTTTCATTGTGACCAGATAATCTAGTTTATAGAATAATAACTGTTCGAAATTTGTTGACATTTGCCTCATGGCTTACCTTGGAGTCTGTTTACAAATGTTCAAAGAAAGCTTGAAAAGTCTGTTTACAAATGTTCAAAGTAAGCTTGAAAATAATTCTGAACTTGTTGGATGCTGTTGTTCTATATAATCCACTAAATCAGGGTCATTAATTGTGGGGTTCAGTTCTTCTCTGTTCATATTAATTTGTCTGCTACAGCCATCATTTACTCATAAAAGTGTGGCAAAATCTCCCTTTTGGCTTCTCTTTTTAAAATTGTTTTGTATATACTTTGAAGTAATGTTTTTAGGTGCATACCAGCTTGGAATTGTGTTATAATTCTTTTATGAAAATGTCATGACTCTTCAATCTAGTAATCCTCTCTACCCCTTAATGCTTATTTTTGATTGATAATAAATAGTAACACCAGCTTTCTTTTAGTTGGTATTTGTCTAAATACCATACATTTACTTTCAACTTTTCAATACATTTTAATTGTATCTATAGTAAATAACATGTAGCTGGATTTTTTTCCCATCTTACTAATTTTTGACCTTTAATTGGAAAGACCTTCCTATCTACACTTTTTTATTTGCTCATGCACTTGGCCTGATTTCTGCCCTCTTATTTTGTACATTTTATTTTCCCCATGTGCTCTAGTTTGTAATTTCCTGCCTTTTCTAATTTTTTTTATTGGTTCAGATTTCTCCTATGTCACCTTGCCCCATTACAATCATTCCTCTCTGTTGTTTTCGAAGTTACACATTCTGTTTCTAATTTTTAATGATTATCCTAGAAATTTTAACATTCTAATTTAACTTCAATTATAAAATTAATCAGTACCTTTTTTCTCTTCTTCTAAATATTACAAGCACTTTAGAACACAAATCCAATCATCCCTCCTGACTTAATTTCCATTTTTAGCAGTATTTTAGTTCTTTCTTTTAAGACCACAGATTAGACATTATTTGTTTTGTGTGGTCAGCATTTGCTTAATAGACTCCATGTTTAACATTTTCTGTTAAACGTTCTTACATCTCAGACCTTCTCACTTTGTTGCTTTCTTCATGAGTATGTATTTTAGAAATTCATGTAGTAAGGATCTGATGATAAAAGCTCTCCACATTTTATTTGTCTGAAGAATATCTTTATTCAACTCTTGTTCTTGAAATATATTTTTGCTACATTTAGAATGTTAAGTTGGCATTTAATATCTTTCACTGTTTTTATTTCATGTCTGTGATGTCAGCTGTCAATCTGTCATTTGTTTGCAATCTGTTTCCTTCTATATGATTTTAAGATCTCTTTGGCTTCAGTGTTCAGCAGTTTGACTATGATGAATCATGTGTTGACTTCTTTAATGTGTACTGTTTGGGATTCATTGAGCTTCCCAATTCGAAGAGCAATGTCTTCTGCCATTTCTGGAAATCACTAAGCTATTATCCTGAGTGATTTCTCTTTCATTCTTTGTATTTGTTCTTATGTAATTCAGATTGGATGTGTGCTATAGCTTCTACTGGCTGTTTTCTCTTTACCTTTTCTCCCCATTTATATTTCAATTTTTGTCTTTCTGTTCCATTATGAGAAGTTTCTTTACCTCTGTGGTCAAGTTCACCCATTCTCTTTACAGTTGTATCTAATTGGATGTCAAATCTATAAATAAAGTTTCTAATGTAGTTATGTTACATTTTTATTTTTGAGATTTATTTTTTATGTTATCTGGATCTATTTCAGTAGTTTCTTGTGTATTATACTTTCAATTCCCTCTTATCTTTAAAAACATATTAAACATAATTGCTTTATATTCTGTATCTGCTCACTTAAATATCTGCTGTCTTTATAGATCTGATACTGTACTTTATTTCCTTCAGTTAGTTTTCATTCATAGAGCTTATTTTCTCATATGTTTAGTGATTTTTGCTTGTGTCTGTGAGGTCATGTTCTATCAATGCATTATAAATGGGAATTCTTTGAGCTCCAAGTTTTAGAAATCTCTCTCCAGAGTTTTGTGTTTGCTTCTGCTAGCCTAGGACCAATTTAAACCAAAATTTCGGCATATGGCTTTTTAGGCCACACAGATAATGTAAGTTCTGGCCCCAAACCTGCGTGAGTGGAGACTTTTGGTTAGGAATTATTCTGGAGAAACTTTTTTACTCAAGTCACCTGAGCCATCATCAAAACACTGTTTACCTCTGTGAAGTTTACTACTTCCTCATTCCCATTAAGGTTCTTCTGTTTTCCATTTGTGACTGTTGAGACCCCAAACTGTAGGCCACCAGGGATCAGCATATACCCTCTAAGCAAATTATGCTTCAGTGCTGTCTTACCCCAGTGGGTTCACTTGGCATTGCTGTTGCATGTCTCCATGGAATTCCTTTACGTCCTTGCTAGCTTTGTCTTACTTCGTGTGTGTGTGTGTGTGTGTGTGTGTGTGTATCCAGCATTTTTAGTTGTGTTAAATTGGTAGAGGTTTCTGTCAGCATCTGGTAAGACACATTGCAAAAAAAAAGAAAAACCCATAAACTAATTTAAATGTATTTTACTATAAGAATCAATGAACTCATATACAGCTTATCTCATAAAACTTGCAGCATCTCCATGCAAATTAACTTTTAAATATGCAGTTAATTTCATGTTCCCCAAATCAAAATATATGTACAGTAAGAGAAAAAAATAATTTTGTAATATTGAATAATAGGGATCAGTAATATAAAAATGAAGAAATGTGTAAATGTTCCTTTTGATATCTCTGCAGGAAAGTGTTCAGGATTTAAAAAAGAGAATCATGGTACTTGACTGCCAATTACGAAAATCAGAAATGGCTCGAAAAACTTTTGAGGCATCTACTGAAAAGCTTCTTCATTTTATAGAGGCAAGTTTTTCTGTTCTATTACGTTCATCTTTAAAAAATATATAGGCAACTGGCATATAGATAAATGTTACTGTATTTGGTACCTAGTGAAACATTCTCTAGTCTCAGAGCAGCAATGCTGACTTGTGATCAGATTTAGAACTGCATAGATGTTGAAAAGATTGGCTCACATTTTATAGATTGTTTAGAGAAATAGTTGACACAAGGTAATGTGATTCCAAATATATACTATATTAATGAATAGTTTAATAAAAATCCTGATAATGTATAAACATTATTTGATAGCTATTTACCTTATAAAGAAATGTTTTATAGCTGTTATATTTCTGAGTAAAATTGCATGTTAGTTCAATTGTTTCCCCCACCCCCATGTAATAGAAACATCAGTTTAATCCGTGGACAGAGGAGGTTGTAAATATTAATCAAGAAAAGATCTTTTTTAAAAACTTTCAAACTTATATATCTCCTTCACCATCTTGTTTGTTGCTAGGCAATTCAAGAAGTATTTTCTGATAATTCTACTCCTTTATCAAATTTAAGGTAAGAAAATTTAAGTGCTTTTTACAGAATATGGATAGTGATTAAATTCTTCATCTGGTCATTGTGACTCAAATAGTAAAAATCTCTTCAATAGTCCTAAGATGCTGCATAACTCCCATTGGATGCCATCATATGGAAATAGGTGCAAGAACATGTTGTTTTGGGTCCCATCTCTATTAAAGAAATTCCTGGAGGTATTTAGTCAATCATTGTAACCTTGTAATCTAAAATTGTGGTAGGAACCACCTATCCTGTCTTTGTCAAAAATTCTATAAAGATGAGATTAACTTGAAATTCTTTTTTTTTTTTTTTTTTTTTTTGAGACGGAGTCTTGCTCTGTCGCCCAGGCTGGGGTGCAGTGGCCGGATCTCAGCTCACTGCAAGCTCCACCTCCCGGGTTTACGCCATTCTCCTGCCTCAGCCTCCTGAGTAGCTGGGACTACAGGCGCCCGCCACCTCGCCCGGCTAGTTTTTTGTATTTTTTAGTAGAGATGGGGTTTCACCGTGTTAGCCAGGATGGTCTCGATCTCCTGACCTCGTGATCCACCCGTCTCGGCCTCCCAAAGTGCTGGGATTACAGGCTTGAGCCACCGCGCCCGGCCGAAATTCTTTAATTGTCCTGCATATGAATAAAAGTTACTGGTCACAGGTTCACTACTAAAGGTTAGACTCAACACAGCAGACTAGTTGTTCTGGCAAACAGAATTTTGGAAAACATATTCATGCAATCATTTTCTTTCATTTTCATCTCTCAGTAGATATAAACAAAAGAAATATATTTGGAGAGTATACCTGTATTGTGTCATTATTCATAATACGTTTTGGATTTAAAGTTTCTTACTAGAAGCTGCAAACATACCAATCAAATTTATTTATTTCAAACCACAAGTTTATGGTCATTTTGATACATGATGAAAGACATTTATAAAAGAAAGATTCTTGTTTATGCATTTCCAAAGTAATTTTTTTCTGATCTCATAATAGCTGCCACTAGTCCTAGATACATCTTCTACTTCTAGCAACATACGCTTGCAGAAACAGGTAGACTCAATGAGGTCAGGTGTGGTGGCGCATGCCTGTAATGCGAGTATTTTGGGAGGCTGAGGCAGGAGGATCACTTGAGCCCAGGAGTTTGAGACAAGCAACATAGTGGTACATAGTGGGGCCCCATCTCTACAAAAAAAAAATAGCCAGATGTGATGGCACATTCCTATATTCCTGGCTACTTGGGAGGCTGAGATAGGAGGATTGTTGGAGCCCAGGAGCTCCAGGAGATTGAGGCTGCAATGAGCTGTGATCATACCACTGCACTCCAGCCGGGATAACATAGTGACACCCTGCCTCAGAAAATAAATAAATACTCTACCCTTTACTGTGATAACAGCAGCTTAATAAATGAAGATATTTTGGTCCGCATAGCATTTTTTAATTTAGAAGAATATTTATAATTCACTTCTAAACTCATTTTAGTGTAATGTTTTGCTTCTTATGATGAAGGGATCTGACATGTCTTCTTACTCTCCATGCTGCTTATGATACAAGAAAACTCTGTGAATTTCATGATTTTTACTCTCAGTAAGGATCTTAAAATAATCAGTAATCATATTTATTTCTTATATGGGTTAAGTGTGTCACCCACCCTCAGCTTTCCAAGGTCTTAGTTTTACCTTGACTAATAATTCAAAAGTTTTGTTTTAAAAATTAAGGTTAAAATGGCTATGTGAAAGCCAGAGCCTGCCCTTGCCTTAAACTGCTTCATGGAAAAAAAGACGACTTTAAATAGCTACATCAAGCAACATTTCATGATGTCTTAGTAAATTAAACACTAGTAAAATCTGGTACAGTCATTTCAATATAGCATATCTTCTACATGGATATTGGCCTTGGTCATTCAACACAGAATAAAGGCTATGTATTTGAATTTGAGAATTGATGCTTTTGTTTCACTTTGTGAATTAATATCATTATGCTTAGGAAGATGGACTATAAATAATGACAATTTTGTCATCAGTTTAAAATTGTTTTTTTTCAAGTAAGTTTTAGTGGTTTTTTTGAGGAAAACATTTGATTTTTAATTAGATCAGAATGCATTCATTTTAGGTGACATTTGCATTTCTTAGAAGTGATATAAATGCTCTAGGCTGTTTTTGATTCGAGGCAAAAAATGGAATAGTTTAAGAGAGGATTTCAGGAGCAAATACATATATTGAATTTATATTTAATATTACTAGAAGTAATAATAAATGTATTTTAATAAAGTCATGTTTATGTGTTTATTTTGAATTTATATGGAACTAAATAAAATTATATCATATTAGCAAAACAGAAGCACTCACAAAATCAGCCCAACAAATGATTTAGGAGACAGGTCATCCTTCTATTACTTCTTTCTCATACATGAAGTCAACCTAATTTTAAAATATTTCTACTTATTATGTAGTAAATAATTGAAGACAGAAATATTGTTTTATGTGAATTACTTCAATTTTAGTTATGTGAAATAATTTCCTCAGAAATAGAAATATTTTTGTACAAATCTATAACTAATACAACTTCAGATTTAGTAAAGATAGATGTTATTTATTGTGTAGTGAGTTCAACTTTATTTTACTGCCTTTATAGTGAAAGAAGAGCTGTGTTAGCTTCTCAGACTTCCCTCACACCGCTGGGAAGGAATGGACGTAACATCCCAGCAACGCTGGCGCTTGAGTCTAAGGAACTTGTTAAATCTGTTCGTGCCTTACTTGATATGGATTGTAAGTTGTCTGCATTTTTTCACTTTTAAAAAATAATTTATTTAACAAAAAAACTGAAGTCAGACAGTTGGATTGCATTATAGTGGCTTGCCTACAGCAAAATTGATACCTAATCAATAAAAATCTTGATCTACCAAGATCATAGGAGGAGAATATTTCCTTTATGTAAAGACTCAGAATGGAGCTCTAATTAAGACATGCATTTACATCTACTTCCACCCAAAGTTTCTTTGAAATGGAAGAATAAATGTAAAAATCAATCGGCAGCAGCACTGGAAACTGGAGGAGTGGAATCAGCATTGAGGAACTTGTTGTTAAATAATAATATACCACAGATAGAGTAAGATTAAACATACAGTCCAGCTGAGCAAAAGACCCCAAAACTCAAATATAACAGACAAAACTGCTCAATGAGTTAAGCAGAACCGTGGAAAAAACCCCAGGATCACAGACTGTGAATACTGGAAACAGACTCTGGGGCAGTCAGCAAGGTAGTTAATTAACTGTCTTGGAATAGCTGAACCAGTTCCCTAGTCTTCAGAGCTGCTGGCTCAGGCATATCCTCCTATGCTAGGGCCAGGAGAATACCTCTCTAAAGGAGCTACATGACCTGTCACTAGATACCTCTAGAGTCAGCATTGGGCTAGAAAGAGAAGTAAGGCAATGCTCTAAGTAACTTCCATCATCCCAACAGACAGAGAGATCCTTGGGGAAAACATAAATGATTGGACATTTTCCTCTTTATCTGTGTCTTTGTGTCTCTCCAGACACTTTTGCCTCTTTATGAATTTCAACTCCCTTTTTCTAACTATTTCTTACATACCCTTTATTTTCCTGCAATGAAAATTATAATTTACCTAACTATACCTATAATTTATAAAAATCAATGGCATGCTAATGTACTATAGAGGAGAAATAAGAGGGAGGTGATTTATAATAAAATGATATATATTTCAATATGTAAATGCTTTAGTACAACTATACTAGGATATATAATGTAGTCATCAGATGCCTGCACCTAAACAGAGAATCACTATAAATGTGGCAACCATGAATGTAGACTGATACAGAAACACTGTATTGTCATTTTAAATAGCATGAGCAGATTGTCATCAGTAATGTTCAAATGATTGTCCAAAATGGTGACCAATGGTAAAGTTCTGAAGAGAAGAAAGTAAAATCTTCCATCAATTTATATACTAGGTACAAGCCTAGGAAATGTAATGTATATTAAAACTATGCAAAAATATTTGGGGTTTATCTAAAAATGGAATTTTGTTCCAGATTTGAATAATTAAAAACAGATGTTTTACCACCATAAATCTCTAGTAGGGCATTTAAATATTATACAGGACACAGAACAATTCTTTGTTGCACAGGACTGTTGGGTGCATCCTATAATGATAGGATGTTCAGCATTCCTAGTACCCTTTCACTAAATGCCAAAAATATCCCCAAACCCTGTGACAATAGATAATGCCTCACAAATTTCCAAAAATGCCCCCTAGGTGTAATACCATTCTTAGTGGGAACCTCTATTGTTGATCCTTGTTTAAAATATGAACCAACAACCAACAATCACCTAATAGTGGTCCAAGGGTGAGAAGAACTACATAACAGGAAGATTGTGAAGAGAGAGAGAAAAAGTCTTTAATTAAATAAACATAATGTAATACTCTAATATTCTGAAGATAGCTATATTATATTCTTGAAATAAAATGGAGTTATTATCCTTAAAGAATCAATAACACATTGCATTCATAACACAGGAAGTAGTTGCATGCAATAAAGCGTTTTTTTTTTTTCGAGACCGTCACGGTCTCGCTCTACTACCCAGGCTGGAGTGCAGTGGCTCAATCTCGGCTCACTGCGACCTCCTCCTCCCCCATCCCCCATCACTCCCACCCCCAGGTTCAGGTGTCTCAGCCTCTCAGGTAGCTGAGACCACAGGTGCACACCACCATGCCTGGCTATTTTTTTATTTTTAGTAGAGACAGGGTCTCTCCATGTTGCCCAGGCCTGGTCTTGAACTCCTGGACTCAAGCAATCCACCCGCCTCGGCCTCCCAAAGTGTTGGAATTACAGCCATGAGCCACCGCACCTGGCCAGAAAAGAGCTTTTAAAAGTATTTTACGTTTCCTTTTTCACTAAATGAAGATATTACTCAAAAAAAAGTTGTTTGATTATTAAATAATATAATTTATTTGAAGCACCTACCTATCACATTCCTAGCACAAAAAACATACTCGGGAGTAAGTTTTGAATTGTGGTTGAACTATAGACATAGCACTTTTTAAAAAATAAGCTGTTCCATTTACCATTGCTGCAGAACAAATCAACCCAAAAGTTAATGGCTTAAACCAGCAATTTAGTATTGTCTCTCATGGTCCTGTTGGTTAACTAACTGCACTCAGCTAGGCAGCTCATGTTAGAGCACTCTCCCGTGGTTTCAGTCAAATGTCTGTTGGGGTTGCAATCATCTGATGACTCTACTGGGCTGGACATCTAAGATGGGAGCTCATCTTTGGCTATCAACTGGAACACCTACCTATATTTGGCCTCCCTAGCATGGTGACCTCAAGGTAGTTAAACTTCTTGTGTGGTGGCTCAAGGCTCTAGCATAGGTATTTCAGTGAGCGAGACAAAAGCTGTATCAATTTTTATGACCCAGCCTCAGAAGTCACACAGCCTCACTTTCACCATATTCTGTTCATCAATGCAAATTTGAGGTGATGGGACTTAGACTCCACCCATGTATGGGAAAGTGACAAGATCTCTTTATAGAAGAGCATATAGTCAGAAGTTATTATTGTGGCCATCTTTAAAGAATAAAATGTGATACGTTTGTATATGTCAAATGCAAGTTAATTTAGTTGGGATGGCTCAGTAAACATTATTACAAGTACCCATTAATATATGGCATATTAGTAGATTAGTGTGTTAGATTTTGGTTGTTTTTCTGTCTCTTTCCTAATGTCACCATACCTGCTAGTTGTCTTTCTGCTTGCTTCTAACATTCCACCATCCCTCTAGTTTGCCACTTTTAATCTTCCCCATGCTGGGAAATAGATGAAAAGAGAATGAGAGACAGAGAAAGAAAGATGTAAACGTCCATGTTAATTAACTATGAAAATGATGTTTTCAGTACAGTTCTGGGTATTAGATGGCTTGGCTTGGTATGGGGTAACATTCAAAGACCTCTGGGATAAGTTCTGATTTCACAACTGTGATATGGAGGATTGGAAACTATGCCTCTCATAGTGTCTACTCAATTTTCACAATAAGTATATACTTAAAAATTTGTATTACCTAATACGTTTGTAAAAATCAAATTATATGTCAAAAACTCATAAGGGCTAATTATGTGAAGAAATTCTGTGGGTTTTAGGAGGAATGAAAATAATCACTCCTAATGTGTTATGTGTAAGTTCAGAATTTTATATATCAGACATTTTTATGTTGGGGTGGCAACAGTGTAGGGAAACACCTGCATAGACATAGCCCAGTGGACATTAACATCATTAATTTTCATTACCTTGCTAACATTAACTTGAATATCTGTCAAAAATGATTATCCAAAGAAAATATTTGAAATTCAGCAGAACTTATTTCGAAGAAAATTTAAAAATTTCATCTGCACTTTTTTTCCCCCAATGATAGTCAGTAATTTGCATGCTGGTTATAAATTAATTATGCAATCAGGTTTTTAAAATTTTATTTTAATTTTATTTTCAATTGACAAGTAATAATTGTATGTATGCATGGCGTACGTAGTGATATTTTGATACACATAATATATAATAGTCCGATAAGAGTAACTAGCATATCTATCATCTCAAACATTGAGCATTTCCTTGGGTTGGGAACATTAAATATCCTCCTTCTAGCTATTTCAAACTATGTAGTACATGATTGATAACTATACTCATCCTGCACTAGTATAGAGCACTAGAACTTATTCATTCTATCTAGCTGTAATTTTTTATCCTTTAACAAATCTCTCCCTATCCCCTGTTCTCCCCGTCCTTCCAGTCTCTAGTACCCTCTGTTTTACTTTTCACTTCTATGAGATCAACTTTTTTATTCATATGCGGGGACACACACACACACACACACACACACACACACACACACCGTGTTTTCCTTATCCATTCATCTGTTGTTGGACACTAAGATTGATTCCATATATTGGCTATTGTGAATAGTGCTGCAATATACATGGCAGGATGTCTCTTCGATATGCTGACTTTCTTTTCTTTGAATAAATGCCCAGTAGTAGGATTGCTGACTCATATTGTAGTTCTATTTTCGTTTTTTGAGGAACCTTTATACAGTTCTCCATAGTGGCTGTACAAGTTTACATTCCCACCAGTGGTGTACAAGGGTTCCCTTTTCTGTGCATCTTCTCCAGCATTTACTTTGTGTGTTTTCGATAATAGTCATCTTAACTAGGGTGAAATGATAACTCATTGTGGATTTTATTTGCATTTCCCTGCTGATTAGTGATGTTGAGCATTTTTTGTCTATTTGCTGGCCATTTATATGTCTTCTTTTGGGAAATGTCTATTCAGATCATTTGCTCACTTTTTAAATCAGATTGATTGGTTTTTTGCTGTTGATTTTCTGATAGTAGTTTGAGTTTCTTGTGTATTCTGGATATTAATTCCCTGTCAGATGACTGGTTTGCAAATATTGTCTCCAATTCTATGGGTTATCTTTTCACTCTTGATTATTACCTTTGCTGTGCAGAAGGTCTTTGGTTTGATATAATCTCATTTGTTTATTTTGCTTTTGTTGCCTGTGCTTTTGAGGTCTCATTCATAAAATCTTTTCCCAGACCATTGTCTTGAAGTGTTTCCCCTATTTTTTCTCTTAGTAGTTTCATAGTTTCAGATCTTACATTTAGGTCTTTGCTTCATTTTGAGTTGATTTTTGTATAGGGTGAGATGTCATTCATCTGCATATGGATATCCAGTTTTTCCAGTACCATTTATTGAAGA